GGGTCGGTCTGGAGGGTTCAGGACAGTGGTGGTGATGGCTTGAAGGTTGGGCTCACCTGGGACTCCTGCGTATGAAATGAGGACTTGGTGATCTTAATCTAGTCAGACTTCTTACATGACAGCTCAGGGCTGAGAGTGTTTCAAGAGATAGAAAGTGAAAGCTGATATTTTCTTAAGGACTGGGCCAGGAAAATGGCACAATGTCATTTTTTTGATCAATCAATCACAAGCCTGCCCATGTTCAAAAAAGAAGGGTCAAAGAATGTGTGATCATATTTCTTTCACCTCCCTTGTTTAAATTTTCCCCTGGACTATAAGGTCCTTTAGGGCAGAGACCATGTGCTATGTCACTGATGGATCCTCAAAGGCCTGGCACACAGTGGTGTCACATATGTACATTGAATGAATGACATAGGCTTAGAGCTAAGTGTTCACTTAGTTCACTGTGTTCACTTTCTTTTTTCCTTTTCTTTTTTTTCTTTTATTGATTTTAGAGAGAGAGGGAGAGAGAGATAGAAACATCGATGAGACAGAACATGGATTGGCCGCCTCCTGCATGCCCCTCACTGGGGATCGGGCCCACAACCTGGGCATGTGCCCTGACCGGGAATCGAACCGGAGACCTCTTGGTGCATGGCTCAAGGCTCAACCACTGAGCCACACCAGGTAGACTGTGTTCACTTTCTTTATCCCTCCATTGAGAAAATAATGGGATTGTTTGGTCAATTGGCACATTCTTTAGTCAACTACAACAGAGCCAAACAGTTCTCCAAAAAGGTACCTAAGGCAAAAATTTTAAGTTTGTAATTACGCTGTGGCTCATCCCCTCAAACACAGTGAATGCCTTTCCTTTCTGCCCCTGGCAACTCCACACTCACAGAAAACAGGCCTAACACTTTCTATACAAAGCGGCCTCAAGGGGGCAGCAGAGAAGCAAAGGCAAGATGCCACTTGGCCTGGGCTGGGAACTCCGATTACCGGGCTGAACATGGCAAGTTGTAGGCAGCTCTGGGTTTGCAAAAGCTTGACCTACAAAAGTAGCCTGACTTCCACCTTTGGCCTTGCCGCTAACGCAGGACACAAATACAGACGGTAGAAGAGGAAGATGTTTCTATAACCTGCAGTGATAGCTATATAGTAGAGGTTTGTGGAGGAGTCTCCAAGAAAATGCCTGCAAACCTTGTACCTACAGACCTGGAAAGCAACCGGGGTGGGGAGGCTAATAAAGTTTACTAAGCTCATTCTTTGCACCAGGCACGATTCTAAGCACATTTTGTGCATTCTTTAATTTAATCCTGACAATAATCCTCGGAGGGAGCGACTATGCTTATTTCTTTCTTTCTTTTTTTTTTTCAGATAAGGAAACAGGCTCAGAGAGGAGAAACCATTTGCCCAAGGTCACACAGTGACTGGGGGAAACCAGGATTTTCATTCAAGAATATCTGAGTTTGAAGCTCAGATGCCTAAACACCACCCTTTCTGAGATTTAATTCATTCGTGTGATCAAATCGTAGGGGTGGAAGATTAGGGAGAGTCTCTAAATTCTTCTGTCCCTATGCCCCCATACCCAGCACAAAGTCTTGTGTGAAGTGGGCTTCAAATAAATATTTATTGAATGAATAAATGAATGAATATTAGCACGGATCTGAATCTTACTCACTAACTTGGCCCATCACATTTGCATACTTTTTTCTTCTGTTTTAGAATTTTAAAAATTCGGTACGATTTATATATACTGAAAATCACTGTCCCCTTTTTAAAGTTTTTTTTTTTTCTTTATTGATTTTTAGAGAGAGGGGGAGAGAGAGAGAGAAACATCAATGAGAGAGAAGATTGATTGGTTGCCTCCTGCATGCCCCCCACTGGGGATCGGGCCCTCAACCTGGGCATGTGCCCTGACTAGGAATCGAACTGGCGATCTCTTGGTGCATGGGTCGACACGCAACCACTGAACCACATCAGCTGGGCTGAAAAATCACTCCTTTTAAGAACAGTTCTGCAAGCTTTGACAAACATAAACAGTTAATTGTGCAATCATCACCATAAAGAAGATATAAAATTATTCCATCATTCCTCTAAATTTCACATTCTCCTTAGTAGTAAATTCAACACCCTCCCCTGCCATGCCAGCCCCACTCCCAGCCCCTGGCAACCACTGATCTGTTTTCTCTTCCTATAGTTTTGCTTTTGCATGACTGTCATATAAAGAGAATCATGCAATCCTTAGTCTCTTGAGTCTGGCTTCTTTCACTGAATATAATGCATTTGAGGTTCACCCATGTTGTTGAGTGCATTAATCGTTTGTTCCTTTTTATTCCTGAGTAGTATTCTATTGTATGGCTGTTTCAGTTTGTTTATACATTTCCCAGTTGAGGGACATTTGGGTTGTTTCCAGGTTTTGGCTATTACAAATAAAACTGCTTTAAATATGGCTGTACAGAGTTTTGTGTGAACCTAATTTTCCATTTCTCTAGGGTAAATACCTACATAAGAGATTGCAGACATACGGTAAGTGTAGAGTTAATTTTATAAGATACTGCTAAACTGTTTTCCTAAGTGGCTGCACCATTTTTGTATTTTCACCAGCAATGTATAAGATGTTCCAGTTGTGTCCTGGCTGGTGTGGCTCAGTTGGTTGGGTGTCACCCCACGCACTGAAGAGTTGCTGGTTCGATTCCTGGTCAGGGCACCAGCCCAGGTTGTGGGCTCAATCCCCAGTCATGGTGCCAGTAAACATCAATGTCTTTCTTGCTCTAAAATCAATAAAAACATTTTTAAAAAAGTTCCAGTTGTTCTAATTTCTCATTAGGACTTGATATTGTTAAATTAACTTTTTAAAGCCATTTTAAATAGGTGTGGAAGTTTCTCATTCTGGTTCTAATTTGCATTTCACTAATGATCAATGATGTTGAGCATCTTTTTCATGTGCCGAGTTGCCATCTGTGTATCTTTGGTGAAGTGTGCCTGTTCAAATCTTTTGCCCATTTTTTTAAAGTGGGGGTTGTTTCCTGATTATTGACTTTTTAGAGTTCTTTATACATTTGAGATACAAATCCTTTATCAGATATATGTTTTGCAAATATTTTCTCCCAGATTGTGGTTAGCATTTTTATTCATTCTTTCAACAATGTGTTTCAATGAGTGTTCTTAATTTTGATGAAGTCCAATTGATATGGTTTTCTTTTGTGGATCATGCTTTTGATGTTGCATCTAAGAACTCTTGGCCCAACCCAAAATCACAAAAGTTTTCTGTTTTCTTCTAGAAGATGTATATAAAATAAACCTCATAAGGTTGTAGTGTTAAATGAGATAGTGGATGTAAACCCTTAGCACAGGGCCTGGCATGGAGTTCACACTCAACACAGAGCCTAAGATGGACACTGGCCTCTGCAATGTTTATAAGAGGTATTCTTGCCCTGGCCAGGTGGCTCATTTGGTTGGAGCATCCTCCTGTGCACCAAAAGGTTGTCAGTTCGATTCCCCACCAGGGCACATACCTGGGTTTTGGGTTCGATCCCAGGTGGGGGCACATGCAGCAGGTGGCAGGTCAATGTTTCTCTTTCACATTGATGTTTCTCTCTCTCTCTCAAATCAATACACATAACCTTGGGTGAGGATTTTATTTTATTTTTTATGTTTTTATTGATTTTTTAAAAAAATATGTTGCATTGTTTTTTTAGAGGGAGAGGAAGGGGGAGAGAGAGAAACATCCATGTGAGAGAGAAACATCCATGGGCTGCCTCCTACATGCCCCCCTACTGGGGATCCAACCTGCAACCCTGGCATGTGCCCTGATGGGGAATGGACCTGGGACCTCTCAGTCATGGGAGGACACTCAATCCACTTGAACTACACTGGCCAGGTTCCTGTGAGGATTTTTTAAAAAATGTATATAAGGCTCTCTCACCACACATTTCCTCTGGTGTCCTGTCATTACAGAATGCAGGATGCCCTGTCATCACCACCGTGGCAAAAGCCTTTCTAGATAGCCTTGTCCAACCTGCTCTTGGTATCAATGGAAATGATTGGAAACAGAGAGAGGCCCTAAGGACTAAAGGCCAGATCTGGATCGTGGTTCTTCCCACTACAGCAAGTACTTGGCCATCCAGCCTGTTTCCATGAAACCTGGAGCTCTAGCCCAAGCTACCATGGGGTGATGGGACTAGGGTCTATTTATTGAGCACCTACTGTGTGCCACGCCTTTGGCTACAGCTGTGAACAAGATAGGCAAAACCCACAGGCTAGCAGAGGAAAACAATCAGCAAATAATTACATAAGTAATTACTGGATTAAGGAAAAGGGTAGGGTGCTGGGTTGGGGAGATGTCTCATAAAGGACGTATTACTCTCCCTCGGCTTCCACCTCTGCGCCAGGTGTGTCGGTCCCTGTGGGCTGGGGTAGGAGGTGCGCACACAGGGACCCGCGTGACGTCAGTGTACAAGCAAAGTGGAAAGGTCCTCCGGGAGGTGGGGCTGTGCTTCGGAGGGCTCGGAGAGAAAGCTTTTCAGTCGTAGTTCACTCATTCATTCGCGAGACCTTCATGCGGCACCGCCTGGGTGCCGAGCACCCTCTGAGGACAAACGCCGTCCGGGCCCTCTCACTACATTGGAGGTAGAGCGACGGGAAACAAGCCAATAAATAATGAAGATGGTTTCAGCCAGAGCCTTAGGCTCGAAGGGGCTGTGATGGGGGCAGGGCGTCCAGGTAGACCCGCAGCCCGGGGGCGGGGACACGTCCTGCATTTAGTGCACACACCCTCCTCCCCCACCCCCCAACTTCGCGAAGCGGTCACCACGTTAGCGACGAGCGCGCCCTCCGCAGGGTCTGCAGCAGGCGCGCCCGGGGCACGAGGGCGCGCGGCCCGCCCACGGCCGCCCACGCCCTCCGCGCACAACGCCCCCTCGCGGAAGCCCTGGGCCGCGCGGCCGCGCCGGCCCCGCGAGCAGGGGACGGGGCGGGGGCGCCGCGCACGCGCACGGCCCGTCGGTGCGCGCCGAGCGGGGGGCACCGTGCGGGTGCAGGCACGATGGAAGGGGGTGCGTACGGAGCGGGCAAAGCCGGGGGCGCCTTCGACCCCCACACCTTGGTCCGGCAGCCGCACACCATCCTGCGCGTCGTGTCTTGGGTAAGGACGGCTGGGTGGCCCGGGGGTGGGGTTGGGGCGCGGGCAAGGGCGGCGTGCCCGGGTGGACCCCGACCCCACCGGACCCCGGGCAGGGCCGCGGCAGCCGGTGGGGAGCGGTCCCGCGGGCTGCCGGCGCCTGCCCCTCTCTCCTTCCCGGGCCCCGGGGGCGGGGGTCTCGATGCTCGCGAGGGACGCCCGCTGCCGTTCCTGGGGCCCTTGCTTCCTGGTGCCCCCAGTTCGTGCGCTTCGCCACCCGCCCCCCCCGCCATCGCCGTGACCTCCAGGCCGCGGCCCTGCAGCTCGCGGCTCGGGTTGCGCGCGGCCGCCCGGGCGGACCGGCGCCGGTAGGGACGGAGCCCGGGTTTCAAGTGGCCTTTTTTGGGGTGTCGGATCAGGGCGGGGAACATCTCGTAGGGGTGCACGCCACGCCTGCGGGGGACGTTCAAGGAGAGGGACAGGGAACCCAGTTTTTATGGTCTAGTCCGGATGGTGTGGAGCGATGCGTCGGGAGCCAGATACCTGGCTAGCACCGGGGAACTGCCTCTCCTTCGCCGCCTGACCTTGGGCTGGAAACCACCAAGAAATGTTCACGGGAAACCAGAAATCAAATTCCGAGGTAGGAGCGTCACCTCCTCTCTCATGCCTCAGTTTCCCAATTTGTAGAGAGGTGGGAGGAGCCTCCTTGAGGCCTCCTTGAGCTCGTGAATCCGTGACAGCACCTCCCCCAACATACACCTGGATGCCTGTGGGGGTTGGAGGACCCGCGGAAAGGTGCCCTCCCCACAGTGCAAAACAGAAAGGCCTGTCCTGGACCTCCAGCCTGGTGCGGGGCAGAATACCCCAGTGCAGAGGGCTGAGTGAGGTCCCTGTTCAGACCTGGGAACGCGGACAGGAGGAAGGGACTAAGGGAGGGAGGGGTTTACATGGCTCCGCAGCAACCCAGGAAAAGAAGGCTTGTTGTGGTCTAGGGAGGAGGTGCCTGGGGCTCCTAAGGGCTGGCTGGCCATTGCCCAGACACCCTCACTAGAGGGTCTTGCTTCTTCTACAGGCCTGAGGCCAATTCCTGTGTGCCCAGACCAGAAGGTCCTGGATTGGAGATGCTGGTCAGTGGCACTGACCATGACCCCAGGGGGCTACACCTAAAGCCAGCTGAGGCCTCAGGTGCTCAGGCTCCCTTCATTTCCTGGGTTTTCAGCACCATATTACGGTCCCATGGATCTACCTTTTTTTGTTGTTTAAAATCTCCTTGTGTCACAGGAAGGGTGCTCACCATATGGGAGCTCTTTAAGGGCAGGGAAGCCCAGTTCTGTTAGTCTTTAGTGCTAACTTCCCCAATGCTGGCACAAGGCCTGGCACCCTTGGCACATCCAGGAGGGTTTGTGGCACTGAATTCATTAATCCGTGCCAGCCTCCAGCTCCCCAGAGACCCAACAGGCCCTTGGCACAGGTACAGCCCTAGGCGCCGCTTGCCTGATCAGGTGGGCTGGCTGTGGGTATTGCTCCCTTTTACTCTGGGCCACTGGCCTGGGAGGGCAAAGCCACTGGCTTTGTGAGGGGGTGTGGGCAGTTTGTCTGCTTGGGTCACTTCTGCCTGGATGGCTTCATTTAGCAAAGTTTTATCGAGTCTGCTGAGCCCCAAGGGAAGATGGCAGGACTCAGACGCAGCCCTTAGTACCACTTTGGAATGAACCACGCACCCCACGCAGAGGTGGTGGAAACAGGAGAGGGGTCTCCATGCCTGCCCTTGGAATCAGAGCGACTTCATCGAGAAAGTGATGTCAGTTTGGGCTTGGAAGGATGAGGAGGGTTTACATATGTGCACGTTGGGGTTCAGGAAAGACATTCCAGGCAAGAGGAACAAGTAACTTTGATTGAGTACCCACTGTATGCAGGGGCACTCTCATGATTACCCAACTAGTTCCCCCCAACAGCCTGTGTCACACTTGAAGAAATTGAGGCTCAAAGAAGCCTATGGCTGCTGAGCATGTCACTGGTAGTTGGAGAATTGGAACCCAAATCTTCCTGCCCCCACAGCCTCCCAGCCCTGATACCTTTAAATACAGTATTTTTTTCTAAACATAAAAGTAATACCTGCCAGTTATTGGAAAATATAAAAATCACTTGTAATGGTCGCACAACAGTATAAATATACTTAATATCACTGAACTGTACACTTAAAAATGATTAAGGTGGGCCCTGGCCGGTTTGGCTCAGCGGTTAGAGCATCGGCCTGCTGTCCAGAGAGACCCGGGTTCGGTTCCCACTAAGGGCACGTACCTCGGTTGCAGTTTGTCCCCGGCCCTGGTCGGTCGTGCGGGTGGCAGCCACTCGATGTGTTCCTTTCACGTCGATGTTTCTCTCTCTCTCTGTTCCTCTCTCTCCCTCCCACTCTACCTGAACAAAAAATGGAAAAATGTCCTCTGGTGAGGATAAAAAAAAAAAAAATGGTTAAGGTGGTACATTTTATGTTATGTGTATTTTACCACAATAAAGAAAAATTTGGAGATAATGTCACATGATATCCCACCACTTAGGGAGGGCTGCTGTCTCCTTCCAGTCTTTTTCTTTTTTATAATTAAAAAAAAATTGATTTTTAGCCCTAGCCGGTTACTCAGTGGTTAGAGCATCAGCCTGCAGTCCAGAGACCCAGGTTTGGTTCCCGCTAAGGGCATGTACCTCGGTTGCAGTTTGTCCCCGGCCCTGGTTGGGTTGTGTGGGTGGCAGCCACTCGATGTGTCCCTTTCACGTCGATGTTTCTCTCTCTCTCACCCTCCTACTCTATTTGAATAAAAAATGGAAAAATGTCCTCAGGTGAGGATTAAAAAAAAAATTGATGTTTAGAGAGAGAGAGTAGCATTGCTGTGCAAGACAAACATCAATTGGCTGCTTCCTACTCCCCCCCTCCCCCCCACAGGGATCTAGCCTGTAACCCTGGGCATGTAATCTGGCAAGGAATTGAACCAGCAACTTTTCGGTGCACAGGATGACACCCAGTTAGGGCTCCTTCCAGTCTTTTTAAAAAAATAAGTATAAGTGGAATGCTGAGACATTTTAACATGTTGGGGAGCAGGCCCTTCACCCTCATGCTACCTCAGCACACAGGGATGGGGGGCCGTTAGTGGGTCTGGCAGGCTGGCAGTAAGCTTCACCTTCACTAATGAAGCCTGAGCTCCGGGGCTAGGGTGACTAGTTCATCTTGGTTTGCTGGAACTTTCTCAGCTTTAGCACTGAAAGTGCCACGTCCTGGGAGGCCCCCCCCCCCCCCCCCCACCCCGTCTCAGACAAACCCAGCCGCTGGTCACTCCATCCAGGACCCTCCTGTGCTACCTAGATTCCTTCTGCAGCCACGGAGGGGTCCAGTAGTGTGTGCAGTGGGCTGATAATTTTGTAAAATCTGTAAAAAAAAAAAAAATCATTTTCTGTTCTTTTTCTGAAAAGGGGCCCCCAAACCATATAAGTTTCAGGGCCTCGCCAAACCTGGACCCATCCGGAATCCTGAGCCCTCTGAGCCCTCGGGCCTTGTTGGGGCAGAAGCCGATGCTGGAGCCCTGTGGGACAGGGAGTTCTAGCAGGAACGAACTGATTTAATGTAAAGAACCACTTTCTATTTACAGTTTATAGTCTTACTTTTAGAGAGCTGACATGACTTATGGGAAAAGAATTTTGGTGCTGTTAGGTGAGAGGTTTTTAAAATTAATTCTCTATTTTGGCAAAATAAAACAATAAAATGTTTGAAATTTTGCCATTTTCAGGGTTGATCTCTTACAGGCATTGGCTCTGACACCTAGACTTTTGTAAGTGGGTATGTGTCGGCTGTCCCCAGAAAACAGAAGTTAGGCACAGGATGGAAGGAACTCATCTACTGGCTCAAGGTGCGGACGGTTGGAGCCGCAGTTTAAACCCAATCTGCCAGGCCTTATTCAGTATACTCTCTGTGGCTTCCCTATCTGGGTCGCAGTAGCACCAAGGGGTGGTCAAGGGGGGAGGCTTTACATCCTCTTTTATCAGCCCCCTTAATCATCCCAAGAGAACACTTGAGTGTAAAAGCTGACCTTGCTTTGCAAACGCAGCAGCTTCAAGACCCTTGTCCCAGCTCCCAACCAGATTGCACGCCCTTGTCATCATGCATCAAAAGGGTGGGTGAAAGGCGTCCAGGTGGAGACCGAGCTCTGGCCAGCTCTGGCCTTCGTTCGTTCATTCCATATATTCCAAGTCCCTGTCAGTGCCAGCGTGTGTGTCCCACTGGAGATACTCTCAGTCCAATGAGAACAGAACTGAGCCGACAAGCACCATCCAGGAGGCTTGGGACGCTGCAAGGAGATGCGTTGGGGCAGAGCTATCTCTGCAGGGTAGAGGCATGGAGGGCTTCCAGAGGGAGGTGACTCCTGAGCTGGTTCTAATAAAGAAGTGGGGAGGTCTGCCCGGCTGGTGTGACTCAGTGGTTGAGCATCGACCCATGCACCAAGAGGTCGCCAGTTCAATTCCCAGTCAGGGCACATGCCAGTTTGTGGGCCCAATCCCAGTGGGGGGCATGCAGGAGGTGGCCAGTCACTGTTCTCTCTCATCGATGTTTCTGTTTCTCTCTCCCTTTCCCTTCCTCTCTCTCTAAAATCAATAAAGAAGAAGAAAAAAAAAAAAGAAGTGGGGAGGGGGAACAGAATGTGTACAAGCCCTGAGTGGATTTTAGAAATGAGGCTAAGTTCTTGGGGACCCTGGGTATGAATGAGAGTGACGAGTCAAAGGGCTAGAGGGGCAGGTAGGGGTGGACAGCCCAGGAAGGGCCACGGGTGACAGACACACAGCTGGACTTCATCTGAGGGCCGTGGCGAACCACGGGGGGGTTTCAAGCAGAGGAGTGTGTTTCGGAAACTCCCCGTGGCTGCCATGTGGAAGCGTGGCTCAGAGAGGGCTCTGAGGCAGGTGTCCTAACAGGAAACGTGTGGTCGTATCTAGCCTGGCCTCTCCCAGCACCGGTCACGTCCCTGTCACTCAGAGGGCAA